TTCCATATATATATATATATATATATATATGGCCCGGTGCAGCATGCAACTCGATCCCACAAATATCCTCACAATGAATGAATATGACTGAGTGTGAAATGTATATTTTTGAAATAATTAATTCAACAGCAACACGACACCATGGATCCCAAAAATATTGGCACGTAGCCTAAACATGATCTTTAATAAAAGTCTCAGCTCAATTTTCCTAACACGTGAAAAATGTTCAGATAATAACATGATTCTTTAATTTTTACTTCACATGATTTATTCAAATCACAATTTCAATGGTGCACGTCCACACGCTCGTCACCTAGCATGTGCGTCATTTCCAAACAATTCATACAACACGAAATTCAGGGATTTATACCCTCAGAACCAAGTTTAGAAGTGTTACTTACCTCAACCCGTGTAATATTTTATTCCGCTATGCCCTTGCCACGAGAATTGGTCTTCAAAAGCCTCGAATCTTGATGGAGCTCTTTAGTGCTACTAAAACCATCCAATACTCGTACAACATCAATCTACATCAACATAATTCAATTGGACCAATATTAGCAAAACTTTCCAGGTTTTTGGTCGTTTGGCATTTTATAAAACACCTAGAGTGCATAACATTCAACTACCTCTAGTAATGATGTTTCTTCATCCAACAATCCTTCTTTCCCACCAATAAGAGATACTAAACCATCCTTTGTCTACAAATTGCCTTCTTTAGCACCATTACAATCATCAATGAACTCACATTCCCTCAATTGTTACTAATTAATTCATTACAAAAATCTCTACAACACCCAATAATCTAGTTGAAGTATTTATGACTTCCAAGCACCATACAATAAGTGCTAATGATTATTTCTTACTCATATATTCACTAACAATCCATGATTATAGGTTTAAGAGTGAAAGATTACCTCTTAAAGACCAAATAAAGTCAACTTTTGGGGTGTTCTTGAGATTTTGAAGAAATCCTATGGAATCCAATACAAAATCTTATTATAACTAGTGATTGAGAAGTGAAATCATCATTAAAACACTCTTAAAAACTCACCTTAAGTGTGTATTGGAAGCCTAGCCCGGATGGGTGATGGAGAAAAAATCCCTAGTCTTGAAATCCTTTTATTCCTCTCTCCCCGCTCATGTATTAATAGGCCCAGGTACAGTATTTTTCCACTGGTGTTATCCCTCTGCTATAAGGCTTTAGCTTACTGGTTAGCTAAAATCAAATACAGTATTTTTCCACTGGTGCTATCCCTGTGCTATAAGGCTTTAGCTCACTGGTTTGCTAAAATCGGATATAGTATTTTTCCACTGGTGCTATCCTTGTGCTATAAGGCTTTAGCTCACTAGTTTGCTAAAATTTTCAGATTCCCTCTTGTGTTATAGCTGCGCTATGGGGAAATAGCTCACTGTATTTTCTTTAGTCTTATTGCTTTGAAATTAACATTCGAGGGAGAAAGTTCTACAACCTTTCTACTAATTGATCTAACTCAGCACCACAAAATCTTAATTTCCTTAGCAAAAATTATCCGGGATCGTTACACATAATTCAACATCCGGTCAAACTTTTTCAACTTAAGTTCTAAACCTTGGAACTAAGTGTTTCAAATCATTCCAAAACCTTACCGTACTCGAACTAATCACCCCCGACAAGTTACATAATAACTGTAAAGCATAAATTGAGCAGTAAATGGGGGAATGAGGCTATAATACTCAAAAACGACCGGTCGGATCGTTACAAGCAAAAAAACTCATATATATGCATGTCGAAGAAGGAAGAACAGTAAGCTTTAAAATGGTAAATAAAAACAAAAGAAACAGAAAACATTATTCAGTTATTTCAATTTTCATCCATATGTCAAACATATTGCGTAAATTAATGTGCATCCATATGTCAAACATATTGCGTAAATTAATGTGCACAATGCTGCTGTAGTGACAATCAACTCATTAGAACCTCATATCTTCTAGTGCTTCTCAAACATTCTTCTTCAACATTTTTTATTCAAGAGTTTCCGGTGCTTCTAAAACACTCATCTTCAACCTTTCTTGAGTATCGAAGTTTGACATTTTTTTTAGTACTAAACCTGTTGAAATATGATTGAACCCTTCAACACTAGACCGGGCGATTACCCTATCATCTCCTCTGCTTTGCTGGATTTTAAGTATACCCAAAACCACAGACCGCAAAACGAATATAACAAAAAACAAAAATATACATATATAAAACAAACAAATATGCACATGAGAACAAAATCAAGCATTAACACATAAAAAATAAAATATAAAAAATAAACGAGAGACCCAAATGGAGAAATAGAAGCAAAAGCTAACCTTTTAAATACATGTTCCACAAACAAGATGGGTGTTCTTGTGCTAAAACTGTGTATGTTCAACTCTGTTTAGTTTAGCAGACGCTATAGAGTAACATGTAAAAGATTCACAAGAAAGCCTTTTGAATGATTTCATCATAAACTATATTGTATGTAGAATGATCGTCATCACTATCTGAGTTTGGCGGCCTAATTAATATCTTGAGACATTTGGAAGCTTTTGCTCTCGACAATGCAACATAAAGCTGATCATGTGAAAACACTGGTTCTCGTAAATATATACCAACAAAATCTAATGTTTGACCTTGTGCTTTATTTAACAAAACACAGTCTTACTGGAAATTATGTTCTTTTAAACTGCACTGGTGATTTTTCATCTTCTGATGACATCAATGGTATTCTCGGAATGAACACATGTGTATTTTTAAAGTCACCGCTTGCAATTTTTGCGCTTATAACATGTGTTTTAAAATCACAACATGTCAACCTTGTGTCATTGCATAAACCTTCACAAGGATTCAAAATTCGAAGTAATATAATTGGATAATTTTCTTTCAAAATTAATCTGTAAGGAGGTAAACCAGCAGGATTTAAAGAATGCAAAAAATCTTCATACTGACTTTGATCATTCGATTCACATGTTTCATCACTTGCAACAAATGTTTTAGCTTCTTTTGGAAATTTGCTTATAAGCATATCATTTATTTCAGTTACAAAATTATTTTTCGTCGTCAAAATAACACGGGAAGTCACTGAAGATGCATCGGAGAAAAAATCATGCATATTAGGAAATGTTGTTTCAAATAATGCATTCAAAGATTCCTGTTCAGTAGTATAAGGGACAATAAATGAATTTGAAATTTCAATTTTGTTTTCAGAAGTAAGAGGTTCTCCATTTCCTATTCTCATCAAATATTCACAAAAGGCCGGATCAGTTTTTGCACGCATGTTTTCTGACAGTTGCAATTTTTTAAGTCGGGGCCAAATGTCAGAATATAATAAACTCTCATGAATAAAATCTTCTCTTTTTCTGTTTCTAACTACTCGTAGAGTTTGTCTAAAACCACCACCAAAGACAACTTTACCATCAAAAAGCATATTAGTATTCAAGAGATCTTTCAAAAGTAGATCAAAAGTTTCAATTATTTTCTTTTTTGCCACCGATACTTCATCCCATACAATTAATTTTGCATCTCGAATCAAACAGGCAAGTTAACTTTGTTTGCTAATATTGCAACTAAAGTTTTCATCAATGTCAATCTGAATTTTAAAACGGGAATGAGCCGTACGGCCACCGGAAGAATCGAAGCCGCAAAGGTTGTTGTTGCTAGAGCAATAAATCCTTTAGATCGCACAGTAGCTAATAAGGCAAGATATAAAAAAAATTTACATGTTCCTCCAGGTCCGTCAACAAAAAAACCTCCTACTCTGTCTGTCTATAATAACATTGTATGCCATCTGTTGTTTACGGTTCAACTTTTGTCGCAGTAATAGCTCTTCTTCAGTAACGATTATGTTTCTTTCAAAGAATATTTCTCTTGCTTCTTTGGAAGCCTTTGAAGCCTTAAAATTTTCAGGGATAAGTTTATACTCATTAATGTTATGTCCCATCGAATGTAAGATGTCACTGAGACAATCTAAAATTTTATATCGGACACTTTTTGTTCCGATGTCTGGAAAAATTTTGAAGTCTTCAGACATAGTCCTTGAATTTCTCCCACAATTCTCTTGGATTAGCAGGATCACAATATACCAACAATGTAGCAAACAAGCGTCTCAAGCTACATGGCATTTGACAACTCTCAGCTTCTACCATACATTCAGCTAAGTTATTGTCACAATGAAGTAGTCCTCTTTTTTTAGCTGATTCTCTGAATATATCGCAACGTACTTCATTTACAGTTAGTAGGTCTTCATATGATTTTGTTCCTATTATATTCATTATTAATAATCTCAGATAATATCTTTCACCTTCTGTTGGATGACATGTTACAACACATCCAATGACATTACCCTTTGTTCGACGGGTCCACATTTTATATTGTACAGACCATACAAAATATTGTGAAAATTCTTTATACAATAGATTGAGCTTTATTGCATCTTTATTTGTTTTGTTCATAGCAAAAAGTTCTGTTAACATTGTTTTTCTAATCATAGGATTATTCATAATTGAGTTTATACTCGACGCACTCCTAAAAGAAACAAATTGTTGTCCTTCAAGATGTAACTGAAGATGATAAACAGCTGGTGTCATCTCATTAATAGGGAAACCAAATAAACTCCATGTAACCTCAGGTGGTGATACCCATCGAGCAGATTGATATTCTTTTATTTCATCAACTTCAACATTTGCGTCATTGTCATGTATGTGAAATGCGATTTTATCATGACCTTTGCAGATGTATTTATAAATACATTTAACAGCTTTAATATTTGAACAAATTTCAACAATTATATGATAATTGAATTTTTCAAGTAAGAATGGATTATAAAGGACAACCCATGAGTTATCGAAATAGTGATCTTTGACTTTTACAAGTCCCGTATTTCGTCTTCTATAAATTGGGTAAGAATTTTTTCCTTTTGATGTTTGATCAGCAAAGCTTCTTGGATATTTGAATTTGCAATAACCGTTTTTTTCTTTTGCATGCATGAATTTGTAGGATTTAACTTACCACAAGGTCCATGCATCATATGTTGGAGAACAAGTTTATATAAGGTTTCTTCAGCTTTACAATCAGGTAACTCAAACAATATTGTCATAAGATTCGGGAGTAAATAGCTTGTATTCATTGGTAAGTATAATAAGGAAATGCGCATGTGGTAAACCACGTTTTTGAAATTCTACAGTATACATAAAAGCTGCAACTTTTTCCAAAGATATTTCTTTTTAATAAATCTGTTTTCAGTTCTTCTAACTTTGCTCTAAAAACTCGACTAATTAAATCAGGTTTGTTCTGTGCTTCGTCAGTTGATAGCAAGTGCTCTTTTATCACGGGCCAAGATGTGTTACAAGCCATCGTTATGAATAGATCAAGTTTTCTAAATTGTTGTACTAAAGAAATAGCATCCATGTAGCGTCGACGCATGTCTCTTGGTCCTCCAATAAAATAACAGGAAGGAATGTTTGTTTTTCTATATTTGAAGCGTCTCTTTCTCCAAGTCTTAAAACATCAATGAGTCCTTGTAGCATTTCTATTCTAAAGAGATTTAGGTTGAATGAAAAAAAGTTCAATCTCTGTGTTTCAAGTTTTATGTGTTCATCTACTGAATATTGTTGAAATAATCTTCCAGAATGCAAAGTTTCATTTGTTTCATCTTCTCTCATTTGGAATTTATAACAGTAATATTCACGAACAGAGATATTATCTCTTTTTCGTTTTTCTTTTTCAAGATTTTGAGCTTCCATGTCAAGGTATCCATCAACAGAACACATATTTCTAATACTTGGTAATTCTTCGTGTTCACAATAGGCTCGACGTTTAGAAGCATCTTTTGGTTGTATAATTTTATTTAATGCCATAGTGCTATCCACTTTGACCATATGAAAATAATAGTGGGTACTGTAACGGATCATAACATCCGTAATAGTAGTTCACTATTTGAGATCTGTTGCTAAGAGTGTAGATTCGAATATGAAGTGCAGAACTAACTTCAGTGATTTTTTTTCAACCTATATTCCTGCAACTTCTGGTTTAGTAGGAAGATTGTATACACGTTGATACAAACCTGAGTCAGATTCAAGTGCAATATTGTAGTTCCATAGATTTGGAACATCTATTAAGGATTTTAAGAAAATAGAGTATGGATTAGTTCTCAGTATATTCATTAGTTTTTTGACTATTGATTCATGGATTTTTTCAAAGCAAGCCATTCTGTTAGCTAATTTGTTATCGTTGCCGTAGAAGTATAGTTGTAGATTTCTTGCAATTCCACTCGGAGGCAGCAAATCATTTATAAAATGGTACATCTTTCCTTGAACTCTAAATGTATAAATACCATAATTTTTTTTTTTGCTAATTCTTTGTCATAATTTACACCAAGTGATGTAAATGCAAACATATTATTGTATGTTCTGATATATGTTCGAAAATGTTTACATTCTTCGGTAGTCCCTCAATATAAATTTTGTAGTTCAGCAGGCATCATGTGAAACTAACTTGATCGAACCATTGTTACAACAGAATCTAGGCGGTTCATATTCAAATTTTTTTGTACCACAAAATTTACAATTAGGAACAGTCCTCAAGGGAACATAATCAGATTGTAACTAACCTACGTATGTACAACTTTTTTTTTGTTGAGTTATAACCTGTATATTTAAGTATCATTAGCATATACAACACTATCATAATAAAAGATTGGTGCAAACCTTTTTTTCCAACCATTGTTCAGCTCATACTACTGTTTTCATTAGATGCACGTGACGTTGAGCCTAACGCCAAAAAGTAATAAATTAGGAATAAATAAAGACATTATGTAAGAGTCAACGTTGCATCCTTGATACTTGCCTACTTCAAAGGAGTAGAAGGGATAAGTTATAATCTTTTGCTTGTCAAATGTAACTGGTAAAGCATCAACGTGACGCTCCTTGGCCAATAGGGGAAACACAACACACATTTAGCATCATTTAATTATACTCACATGCAAAGAGCGTGAAGGGACATCTCTACCAAAAATAAAATAACAAAGGATGTGTTCTGACCTGTTTTTGAAACAAAAGAAGAGCCCCTAAGAGAAATATTTTATTGCTGAAACTCAGTTGCAGCTGGAGTAACGCCAGGAAAAGCAACATTCTCAGAAAGACTACGCCTTTTTGACTCTTGTCTTTTTGTTCGTTGTTGTAGTAACAGTGCTTCTTTTTTTTCCGCAGATATTAGTCTGTACGTTTCATGTCGCCTAAGTTTCATCTCAGCTTCCGATTTTGCGAAGCAAACATGTTTTTTTTTGTTCAGAACCCATTATTCCTACAAAACTACAATTATAGAAATTAAAACACACGAAGTAAACAGAAATAGTTTGCTGGCAGAGGTAACATCGGAAACGAATAGCATCAGATTAACAAAAGTACTACTGAGACTCAAATATATCTAACTTTTATTTTCTGAGCACTACATACAAGAAAAATTGTAACAGCATCTAATGGTTCCTTAATTGAACCTGTAGATCCTCCTCAATCACGGGAACTACAATAGCTATAAATGGAGAAACTTATACAACTCAACTGCAAGAGTTAGAGAACGTAAACCATATATTCACTATGTTTCTTTAAGAGGGAAATGATATTAATCAATTCCTGTACAAGGTGAATCTTCGGCCTTAACTCTACTGATAATAAGATTGTTGTCACCAACTATACAATATTTACCTTTTTTGTTGTTGTTGTTGTTGTTAATTACAATATTAAGTCACTCAAAAATATTTTCTCTGACATTGAATACCAATAAAAACTGTTTCTGACTTATTCCTGATATCTTGGAAATATACTTGTCAACAGAAACTGAATCAAGAACCTCCAAGTCAATTTTCTGTCCTACTTTTGCGACATAAATTAACAGAGCACATAAACTGAAGAAAATAAATATTACAAACCTTTTAATACGCCACATCCCAAATTACTACTCTGTACTCTTACTTGTCCTAAACCGTGTTCACTTTCCTTTTAAAAAGAAGTTCCTACTCAAGAAAATGAAAGAGCAGGAACAGTTTCCTTTACAAAGCAGTTGCATGGGACCCATTTACTCTATGAAGTACAAGTTTTCTTTTCAAAGGTGTTTGGATTGGAAGACATTTTCAGAAATCAAAACCAAACGAAGTTATTTGGTTTCAAAATCAATTTTTGAGTGAGATTATACTGGGTTGTTGTTGTTGTTGTTGGAAATACAAAGATACGGAAATAAATCTGCTCTGAACAAAAACCAAGAAATAACCCTTTTCTTGCTCAATATAGCATAAACCTGCGCCACTGAATCATTTCTTAAGCGAAGGAAAATCAATCTTGATGACTATTTAAAAAAATACCACTTAAGCTAAAGAAACTTCTTGCAATGTCAGGCGGAGATTTCCTATTCGTGCATCTGCCAAACTTAAACTCCCGTGACATTGTCTAATTGGTCATTGGTCACTAAAGAAGTGCATGAAAGCCCTAACTCAAAATGCAACCAAAGAATGAAACCAGGGAAAACAAAAGACAGGAACATGTATAACAAATCTAATAGAAAACCTGATTGAAGAATTTTGTCAAACACCTTGAGAACAAAATTTATTAACATATTTCACTTTGTCTGCAGGAAAAACAAAAAATACCTAGCATATTATCAAGGATTGAAACAAATCAATACAAAAAACACAAGATGAGAAGAAGATTACCTAGTAGAAAATACCAATAGACAGAGGCGAGAAGCAAGAGAGCACAAATATGAAGCGAAGAGGCGTTTGAAGAAGAGGGCTTTGCAGATGAAGCTTTTCACAAGTATCGGATGCAGTAAAAGAAATCAAACGGTGAGTTGATAGCTATCAAAATTGGGCTACACGTGTTGGGCTGTAAATACAGGCCACGAGATAATTTTGGGCCAGGCAGACATATTGACCAGTAACTGCCCTGGTTATACCCACGTACAGTATAGGAATAGATGCTCATTTTTTTAACTATATACTAATAAGTATAACTTTGGTGGTACGACAAATGGCACTTTAGTAATACATTTATTGCTTAAGGGCACTTTGGTAATAAGTTATAGTTATTTTTCTACTATATTAGAAGTGTACGAGTACATCGGCCGACATGCCAGTTTAAGCTTTTATATTTTTACCCCTGTTTTTTAATATTTTTACTTTCATTGCCGTCAGAGAAATTTGTAAATAATGAAAATTTCTGGGGCATTTTCAAATCCCACTTATACATATTTTACATGTTGGGTTGATATTAACAGCATTACACGTGAACATTTACCTCTATGGCCACCGCTTAATAATTTACTTTTCTCGCTCTTCGATTGTCTATAATTACCTTGCCTTCTCCTTCTTCATTATTTAACCCTTCATTCTTCGATTTTAAGCTCTTTGTGTTTAGAACTGAACATCAATTTTACTTTAATTGTGAATTGGGGTTTCTACTGCGTGTTTTGATAGATCTTCTTTCTCTGCTTATCTTCAGATTTCTTTCTATCTTAAAGTGATTAATCTGCTCCGTTCTCCCTGTGTACACCCTCTTTGTTTCCACAGCTGAGTTGGTTAGTTTGCACTTTTTACTGTTCTTTGTCTTTATTTTATATTTTGTTGTACCGGTGTATCGGTTATTTATTCGAAAAAATATTTAAAATTATTGTGATTTATGGTTGTTGCTGTGTATTCTTGTTTTTATATGCTTTACCTAATTTTTTAACCTAATTTCTTTGGCTTTTTCCCATGGCTAAGCCTAAAATTCAACTAATCTTTCCCTAATATGCTTCTTCTCCGATCGTTATTTTTCTACTAACAAAACCTTCATCTTTTCCATTCTCTAAGCACCCATCGTTGCTGCTCTTCTCCTTTCATTCTCCAACCGTGGTTGCTTCTTCTCAAGCTCTTTTATTTTATTAATCAGTTTCTCCATTATTTATTCACCGATATGAACTCTTATTTTGGGGATATTCCTTTTTTTACTATGTGTCTTTCCTTTCTGCTTTATCTATTTTTAAGTTTTTGATTTATATTGTCCTTTAATTTACGTAAGGTTTCTCAAAAACTCTATTTGTTTGTGTTTAATTTTCAATATGTTTGATGTTTTTTCAACTGGTTTGCAATTAATATTGAATTTCTCTTATAATATCTACTTCTGTTTTGCTTTCTTTATTTGCCGCCTCATATTTGTAAGGTGGGATGGTTTGTTCTTGCACTTTTACGGATATCAATATGCAGGTTATATTGATAAAATGGAAGAAAGACTTAGTATCAGTGAAATTACACCACTAACTACATAATGGACTTGCAAATAATTGTCCGGGGTGAAAACGTAAGTCAGGTTACAACTATAATTGTAACATAACATCTTCTCACTTGTACTCTTTCAATAATTACTGCATTATTATTCTTAATAACATTGTAGGAGGAATAAATTTGTGTAATACTCTATGGTGACGACATTAGACGATGTGATAAGTTATTCGAACTTTTTGAGACGTATCTGATTTCAACTGCCAAGGTTAGAAATCCGCTGCCTTATTCAATACATATCAGCCAGTTTGAATGGGTCGTCCATAGATTCACTATTGTGGAGTCTATTCCAAAGAATAATGAAAAGGAGGCACTGTTACCTCCTTCGTCGAGACTGAGTACGATTTCGCTCCTCAATGTTGAACAACAGCCTTGCGGTGTTGAATTTGGTATGTTTCAAGTTATCCTATGCTTTATAACAGCTTAATTGCTTGGAACTCATGGTGAATACAAATATTTGTTTTTTGCTTATAACAATAGATCTATTAGCTGTCGTGGCAAACTGTGGGGCAATGCAATACCCTGCTGATCAGACTAACAGATTTCAAGAGGCCATAGTTATGGACAATAGGTGAGTCATTTAATCTTCTATTACATAACAAAATCACTAGCTGACACTTATAAATATAACAACTGCAAGGATTCTCTGTTATTCTCGTGAAACGGATACTACCATAAAATACCATGGTGGTAAGCTTATGAAGTTCCTGTTTCTACATATGGATAATGCTTCCCCGTTGTTTATTAACAAAATTTGCATACACAGTTTCCCGTTTGGCAACAAGATACAACTCGATAATCTTAATCAATCTTCTGTATGTGAAAGCAACTGAATTATGAAATTGGTACAATACAAACTATGCTTAAAATGTACCACATCATTATTTAACTATTGTTACTTCTATGAAAAATAATTGTTTGACATTTTCAGTGCGAATTACGAGGCAAATAAGAACAAACAAATGCTAATCGAATACACAATGAAGAGTTCAACGGAGTTAGCTTCATCAGTTAATCTTGTAGCTGTTGACGATGAAATATTATCTGTTTCAGCTATTGCTATGCAAACCTCCACTGTGAGTTCATTAAATTACAAAAGAAAATGAAAAAATGCCACACCGTGCTCTGTCATTGCATATCTTTTATACAATATGGATAACTGTTCAATATATTCTAATATGTTACTGTTCGTGTCGGCCCAGTAACAGTATGGTTTAAACAATATTAGAGTATAAATTCTTGGAATAAACTCTTACGTTAAAGTTCAACTATAAAAAATCTTCATTGAAGTTATATATTGTTCGCTTTACAATTAAATTTATTTTAAAATATTTTTTAAAAGTTTAATCACTATATCACATCCTATTTGTATCCTACGTCATCTTAATATTTGGGAAAGAGGCTGTTGATTCAAATAAATCTATTCTAATATCAAACAGAATAGTTTTCAATTTAGTTTTACATAAAATTAGTTAACTATTTTTTACATTTTACTGTCACAACACACTACTCATGAGGTTTTACTAACTATGCAACTTCGTATTATTTGGTTGCTAAAAATTATATGCAATTAACAATTGATGGTTTAGCAGGTTCCACTACTTATGTTATAAACATAAAGCTAACGACTTGTTTCATCATTTACATTTTGCAGGCGGAAACTTTTTACATCGAAGGAGAAATTTCGCTACCTGACCATTTCCAATAATTTTATCTGCTAGATTGTTCTGAATGTAACCATCTTGTTCGGAGCAAAATAAAAAGAGAGATACAATGCATAAATTGCAAGCTGCAACGAATGTTAATTCCAAGGTAACAATTGCTACTAATAAGATGATGCATTGACAATATTTGATACTGTGTGCCATGCATTCTACCTCAACTAAAATAATTTACAACATACCATATCATAGGTGCCACTTTGAGGTAGAAATTACAGACGAAACTGGCACAACTATAGCAACAGTATCTGAAGGCTTGGCCGAAAGAATGTTGTCAATGAGAGCTGAGCATATATATAATATCGTTAGTGTTAAGGTACATACACGTACAACACTAGAGTTAACATGAGCCAATAAAGTTAATATAATACTCTCATGCTTAACACATAAACGTAAGCTTTGACAAATTAATTATTTTACTATCTCTTTGCAGAATGAGTTATTACCTGTTGCCCATATCAATGGACAACTTGCAGATAAACTGTTCAGAATTTAGCTACAAATGTCATCATCTAGAACACCAGATAAAAATGCAGGTTCTCTGGTCCTTTTATCATAGACTAAAAAACCAACCATGTTTCTACCAGAAGAGTCAACATTTGTGACTGGTGCCGAGGGAACTATGGAAGAAGAGCCAATACTTGTGACTGATGTAAAAGGAACTATGAAACGAAAAAGGGAATCAAGTACTCTACCAAAGCCACACTCAAGGTTAGAAATTCAAATACCATATTTTACCATCTACTATTTTCTTAAAATGAATATTTTATTTGTACAGTTTGTCGAGGCAGTGATGTCTGCTCAGATGGTATGCGATGTACAAATAAATTTTGACAGATTGTACCGATCCTTTAACAAGATTTAGATAGTTGGCCGCCTTAACAAAGTATTCCATATTTTTTGTGTAAATAGTTGTCAATAGTGTGTGCCTATATTTGTAACGGCAATTGGTATTACTTTTTGGATATTGGAGCGGCCTCCAGATGTTGTGCAGTGACATCTTATGATTAGGATGCATGTACATTTTCGAAAGTTTACTACGTTTATCACATGATGTTTTCTTTTATACTACTGATGTCAACTCTTACTATTTAACAAAAGAATTATACATGTATCATTTACATATTTTTAATTTTAGTTCAGTTATAAAAATCGTTGGCAGCGTTTAAACACAATTCATTACCACTAAAATATTGATAAATAAGATTTTTTTCTTAGCTGAAGCATCAGTAAATATTTTAAAGTTTAGGTTATATAAACTACGTCATTGTGCGACGGGCTATGCATGGGCAACGGCCAGCTAGACTATATTAGAAGTGCAAATCAACAGGCGGGACAAGCGATCACTTTTCCTTCGAATTTAGCTACCTTGATCTTTTATTTGTATAATATTTGTGTGTTTGTCAAGGACAAACACTACATTTTCAGACAGAAGCTAAAGGCCAAAGATCTTCAATGCATCTTATGATAACTTATGAAGGAGTAAAGGTAATGTCCATGCCTTTATCTCAGATTTGCTGAGAAAGTAAATTACTTTCTTAAATTATCTTACGACCAAGATTTGTTAGCTATAATTATAATAATATTTATCGGTCTGATATAAAATTTGTTGAATATCTACGCTATTCAGAAGAAGAACATCGTTTAGGTGGACTCATTTGGTCATTTTTTTTCAATATTGGTAACGTCCCTGTCTTTTATTCTACTATCTCATATACCTATCGATTTCTCTCCGTGATTTTTTGTCTTCTCAATATCAGTTCTTTTACCGACACCTGTATTCTCTTTCAGTTCTCGATTCTCTTAGCAGATTATTTTTTGGGCAATAACAACACTTCTGGTGAGATTTTCTCTGTTACTATACTTCCTTTTCTTTTGGATTGCTTTGCTTCTTGCTTTCTCAGTGGTATTTTGTTAACATTTTGATTACAAAGGGGGTAACCTTCGGTGAATGGCTATGGGTCTCTTTATGTGTGTCCATCTGACTAATTTGTCATGCTAAGAATTTCATGTTTTCTTCATTAATGGTATCTTGGATTTATATTGGTAGCAGTGAAAACTTTTTTAAAGACGGTTCGAACTCTATCTAAGTTGTTCCACCGATAAGAAGCTAAATTTTTTTACAGAAATAGCACACTAGAAGAAAACTCATTAGAACAACTCTCGAATTAGGTTTTCCATTGTTTGGTTATCTTCTAGTAATGACTCTAGCGGAAAAATAAATGATAAAATACGCCTTTTTAATAGTGAGGGGAGAGGGAAACAGATAGATCTACTTTGGTTAAAGGTGAAATGGGTGGCAATATTTTCTTAACCACTCAAACACCACCAAATGAAAAAAGAAAGGAAAAGAAAGAAAGATGCTGCATTATTGAATTATGTGAGGACCCTATGCAATAAACAATATTGTCGATAACTCCAGCTAATTTAATTTAAAATGTCAACCTACAACTTATGACAAATTACATAACTAATTTGTTTTTCTCCTCCTTTTTCTTTCCCTTATGCTTCTTGGAAATAGCTTATTTCTTGTTTATGGGTATCCAATTGTATTAGCTTTAACAGGTGAATGATGCTAATCTTATTGTACAATATTCCACTGAAAATCTGGTCCACGCACAATTTATACAGTTGGATAACGTAACCAGCAACTTAAGAAAGTTCTAACGTTGAGGCGCATGTACGAATTTCACCCAAACAAGCTCCCAAATATTGGCTCATATTTCGAGTGTCTGTGCCGCCTCTTGGCTCGAATACTTATTTTGTTTCTAAAGCATCGCAGAAGGGTATTATCAAATTCTCTTTCTCCATGACTTTTCTCATCACTATAGTGTTTTATGGATGACTCAAATATCAGAAGGCATTGCTTGTTAAAGATTGCAGGAACTACTTCCTCAAATTATTTATATTAAGCTAGCATAGGAATCTAAATATTGCCATCCGTAGATCTTTGATAAATGAACATCTGCTGCATTTTGCCTATATAAACTGAATGACTTCAGCAATGGTTTATTATTTTCCAGAGAGTACAGCTATTCCACCAAGCTAGCTATACAAAAACAATGTATAAGTTTTTTACATATTGGGCCCGGGCTATCCCTTCTAGTTTTGTAAGACAGCTGGCTTTGCCTCTCAAACCCATTTCTTGGACTTCCACTTTCTTCATTGTTTTCATCGTTCCTTTCCCATTTCTTGACAAACAAAAGCTTCTTCCATATCTCTCAGAGCTCTCTGACAAAAATAATGGAGTCTAAGTCAACAGATTTTTCTACTATCATTTTCTTTCAATTCTCCGCACACTTTCTTCAATTGCACTGTTCTGTTAATTCAGCACATCCTTAATGACTATGCTATTTCCCTTGCTCCCGTGGCTTTGTTTCTGATACTGTTCCAAAATTTCACTCTTTCTGTTTCCAATTTGTATTGGCTTCTACAATATTTTTAATTTGATGGACACACATCTGACTTTTTCATTTTTGATTCATATTTTCTTGGTGTATGCTTAGCATGTATTTTGATTATTTGTTCACATGTCAATATTGAAATTTCTACGTAGATACACATTCTACTACAGCACCGGAAACACTGTATCAAGACGAAAATAATAATGGAGTAGAGATGAACTTTAATGTAGCCAAATTATTTAGACGTTATGCCTGAATATCTAGGTTCCAACCCTTTATCTATAAACCTTGAATTCTGAAATATTGAAATATGGAGATTTTCTTTTTTGTGTTTAGGGTTAGTATGCCAATGTTGATCTATAAGAAGCTTCAGTTTATTTCTGCATTCCTCTTCATAATTTTTCTGGCTATTTCTTTTGTCTTTGTTATACAACTATAGTTTCCTTTCCTTACTTTCTTCAATTGGATGGTGTTGCGAGTATTACTTGAATTTGGAATGTTTAACACCTTGGATCTCTATTATCCTTTACTTATCTCTCTTTCTTCTCCCGGAGACTCAGGTTCATGCCTATTTTACCTCCTCTCTTTTCATTTGGGGTGGGTGTTGGAGTTCACAAAGCTCTAATTTTAAATTGGGTTCATGTCAAACGGTAAATGTTTGAATCTACTTTGTTATCTTGGAATTTGTCGTAGTTTATCTATCAATTTAAGGTCAGTTTGGAAGTTCAATTGAATTGAGAAAAATGGTGATTCTCTATGGCAAGAAATTAGTCTTCCTCTTATAGTAAAAACTTTTTGCAGTCAATCACCTATTTTTTATCTAATGCAGCTGGTAACTCTTGCCCTCTTTTATCAATCATGCTTTAGTATTGCTTGCCCTGTTTGCCTCATAAAAGTAAAAGGATCTAAGTCACCTAATTCCAGCTATGATAAGTAGGCGACTCCCTCAAAGAACTCTCTTGTGCTATAAAATTGCCGACTATGATTTAATCTTCGTAGATGTCATTCAGCTGTCTAGCTTTTTAACTTGATTTCACTAATAATGTACTTCAATTGCTAAGATTTAATTTAATTGAGATCAGTGTTTTAAAAGGCGTAGACGTAAGGCGGGGCGTTTTACATATGCCTCAGCGGGGCGTAAGTCCCATATGTATTTAATTTTTAATATTTTATAAAATAATATAATGACAATTAATATTTATAAACAGGTAAAATTGCATAAATATTGAAAAAAATTATATATATGTGTGCTCCATCCCCACAAAAAACTAATCAAAACAATATATTATACGTTACTTACAAGCACAAGTAATTTGAGTCTAAAAGAATAAAGTTTTCTATATGGAGGGAAAAAAAGGATGATTAACCTGCAATTTGAACTTTGAATTTGCTGCTATGAAGAAAAATATAGTTCTCTTTGTATTTGTAAAAAAAATTAAATATTCATTGCTTTTGGGAGATATTAGCAGACTAGCGGACAAGATAAAAATTTGGGAAAACCATGAATTAGGGCTTAAATCAATTAAAAAAAAAGGTCTTTACTTTTAAATTTAATACTTTTGAGTTCCTTTTTAAACCTTTTGAGTAATTACCAAACTCACTTTTGAGAATTTGGGTATTATATGAAGGATTAATTCAACAAATTTTGTTTTCATTTGAAAAAGTCTCTGGAACTTACTCCTTACTAAAAAAACGCACCCCGAACGCCCGGGCATACGCCCCAAATTGCAGGGCGTACTTCTCTTGAGACTTTCGCCCCACACCATCGCCCCGGGGCGTTTTTGGTACGCCTCGCCCCGGGGCTCGCCCCAAAAACGCCTTTTAAAACAGAGATTTGAGATGAGCATTTGGACAAAGTATGTTTCCTTCCATATTAATTATGTGGAACAAAAGCAAGTCTCTTTAA